AGGCACGCAAGAGATCGCCCAGCGTCAAGGCAAGGCACGCAAGAGATTGCCAATGTCAAGGCAAAGCACGCAAGAGATTGCCCAATGTGAAGACAAAGCACATGCAGGAAACCACATCTCTGGATGCATCTTCCAGGACTCTTCCTCTCCTATTCAGTGGCACTTTCCTGTTGCAAGGGGAGAGAAACACATTTAAGAGTTTAACCAGAGATTTAGCTTCCCGGCCTGGCACGGTGGCTCACACCTGTAATCCCAGCACCTTGGAAGGCCAAGGCAGACAGATCACCTGAGGTTAGGAGTTTAAGACCAGCCTGGCCAACATGGCGAAACTCCATCTCTACTAGAGCATACAAAAATTAGCCAGGCGTGGTGGTATATGCCTGTCATCCCAGCTGCTCAGGAGGCTAAGACAGGAGAATCGCTTGAACCCAGGAGGCAGAGGTTGCACTGAGCCGAGATCATGCCATTGCACTCTACTGACAACGATTTAGCTTCCCAACTAAGCATCATAATCTACATTGACACCTCTGTGCCTGGGCTGGGCTCATGTTCTGTCACCTGAATTGAACATTTGTGTCTTCTTTGTCTGGCTAAGAATATTTACATATGGTTCCAAACTCACCTTAGCCATCCTGTCCAGGAAACTGTCTCTGATTACCGAGGCTGGGTGGAATGCCCCCATTGCACCTGGGCAGCGGTTCTGTCTTAGCACTCAGATTCAACTAGCCATGTGTCAGGCACCCAGCTGCCCACAGTGCCTCCCCCAACATCCCACTCCAGCCTATATTGTTTTTAGTGTGACCCTATCTGTCCCTCAGGCTGTATTCTCCCTGGCCTGTATCCTCCCTTAGTCTGTACCCCTGACCTTTATCCTCCCTTCAGCCTGCATCACGCCCCAGCTTCTATGATCCCTTAATTGGTATCACTTCCTAACCTGTATTCATCTCAGCTTTTATCCACCTTCCTGTATCCTCCCCAACCTAGTCCCCAACCAAACTGTATCCTGTATCAGTCCCCAATTCCTCCAGCCTGTATCTCCTCTTGAAAGGCAGAATTCTAAGATGATCCCAAAGACTCCTAGCTTCTGGTATGCAAAATTCACATCAGAGTAATTAAGTAATTACTCTTTTCCCAGTCATTCAGCCAAACATGAGTCAGTATTTCGATCAAACATGACTCTTTTCCCAGTAATTTAGTCAAACATAAATCTATTGCAGCTGTGAAATTGCAGATGTAATTAAGGTCCCAAATCAGTTGACTTTAAGATATGGAGAGGGCTGGGGCTGGTGGTGCGGGCCTGTAGGCCCAGCTGCTAGGGAGGTGGAGGTGGGAGGATCACCTGAGCCCAGGAGTTCCAGGATGCAGTGAGCCCTGATCACATCATTGCATTGCACTCCAGCCTGGGGTACAGAGCAAGATCCTGTCTCAAAAAAAAAAAAGAAAAAGAAAAAAATAGGGAGATTATCTAGTAGGGCTGATATAATCAATGGATCCTTTCAATTTGGATGTAGAGGTTATAAACAGAGAAGTCAGAGATCTCAAAGCATGAGAGGACGTGAGAAGGGAACCACATGACAAGGAACCGCGGGCGCCCTCTAGTGGTTCAGAATGCCGTGGCCAACAGTCAACGAGACGCTGGGGGCGTCACTCCTACAACCACAGGACTGAATTCTTCCAACAACCGCGTGAGTTTAAGAGGTTCCTGAGCTCCAGAAAGGAGCACAGCCCAGCTGACACTTTCATTCTCCCCTTGGGATACACTCAGTGGAGATCTCAGCCACACCGTGTCTGGGCTTCTGACCTACAGTACTGTGAACTAATAAATGGTGTTGCTTTAAGCCAAGTGTATATGTTATAGAAACTTAATACAACACCTTCCGCGGTCCGTGCGCCCCAGTCTGTATCCCCTCAATTTATATCCCACGGCCTGTTTCACTCCAGCCTGAATTCCCCAGGGATGTAGCTCCCCAGCTTGAATCATTTCCCAGCCTTATCAGCCACTGCACCATGGAACCCCCTGGCCTACATTCCTCCCAGCTTGTACCATCCCCCAGCCTAAATGCCCCCTACACACCCACGGCTTGTCATATACTGCCCCCCATCAACCCCATCTCTCTCTTTCTCTCCCTCTCTCTCTCTCTGTCTCTCTCTCACACACACACACACACACACACACCCCACCAGCACCACAAACACCATCACCCACCACCTGCACAGCACAGAACCCTGAGTGATTCTGCCCAAGGAGTACACCACTCAAGTTCACAGTGTGCAGCACCAGATGGAAATTTTGTCTCCTTTCCAAGACTGGTGAGCAGGACTGAGCAACCCAAAGGAAAAATGTACCCTCTTCTCCTTTGCTTCTTTGAGCCTCAAACCAACCACAAGCAGCCAGTCAGTCCTGCTTCCTATGCACTGAGCTCTGCTCTAGTTTCTCCAGCAGTCTAGAATCACCCCGCACCCCCACCAAGCCAGCAGCAGGCACTCCCTTTCCAAAGGGAAATGAAATGGGGCCCAAATCAGTTGGCCAAATCTTCTCATCCCTCTTCTCGAAGGATTTGAAAATTCCTTTTCTCGGGGAGGATTGCTGACCCCCTCCACACATTCTCCACCTCCAGTCCAGAGCTGACCTTCTGGATTTTTCTGTTCTTCTGGACTTTTCTTCACCCGCTCTATCCCACAACTTACATTTGCAAGATGGTGTGTTTCTCAGTGATGTATTCCTCCATAATTATCCTTGTACCTGAACCTGAACTTTTTCTGAGTTGGTTGGGATGAGTGGCATAAGTAACCAATGCCTACCATCAAATAGCAAACATTAGGTGAAGAACATAGAACATCTGTGTAAAAGGATAAATAACTTCATGCATACAAACATAACACAGACAAAATATATGCATCTATACAGTGTGTATGTGTGTATATATATATATTACATTTATATATAATTATATGTTGTATATATATAAAACAACAACACTGCAAGGTATGAACTACTATTCATAGATGAGGAAATTGAGGCTCACAGAAGTTAACTAAGTTGTCTAATGGCACACAGCAAGCAAGCAACAGAGCTGGAATACCAACTTGAGCAGTCTGGCTCCAGAGTTGATCTTCTTACCCCCTCTGCTGAACACATACAAAGGTGTCAAGATCACTGTGCTAAGTAGGGCATGTGCATCATTTATGGTAAGAAAAGAACAGGAGAGAAAGCAGAGAAAACTGTGTGCTGAGCAATCAAGACAATTTTCACAGAGAAAGTGGGGCTTGAGCTAGCATAAAGGGAAAAGTTGAACTCAGACTTAACAAGGGTAGGGTGTTCAGGCTGGGGGAATGGAATGAACTAGACACAGGAGTAGGGGCACACATGCATGCATGTTCTGGCAGCATAATTTGTATGAGGAAGCTATGGGAAATAAGGCAGGAGAGGTTAAGTGGAGACCAGACTGTGGCTGTCTTGAATGTAAGCCAAGGCATTTGGCCTTAATTACAAGGCAAGAAGAGGGAGCCCTAGGAAAATTTTTGAGCAAGTGGGAGAAGGGAAGGACAGCTGAATATGGTGAATGACTGAACTTGAGAGATAAAAAGAAGAATTTAAAAATCAGTCCAAAGTTTAGTGCTTGGGTGATTCAAGTAATTTTTGTTTTAATAATAGAAATGGATTAAATTGGCCGGGTGCGGTGGCTCACACACATAATCCCAGCACTTCAGGAGGCCAAGGGGGGCAGATCACGAGGTCAAGAGATCAAGACAATCCTGGCCAATACGATGAAACCCCGTCTCTACCAAAAATACAAAAAAAACTAGCTGGGCATGGTGGCATGCACCTGTAGTCCCAGCTACTAGGAAGGCTGAGGCAGGAGAATCGCTCGAACCTGGGAGGCAGAGGTTGCAGTGAGCCAAGATCACACCACTGCACTCCAGCCTGGCAACAGAGCAAGACTCAGTCTCAAAAATAAATAAATAAATAAATAAATGGATTAAATTATACGTGGGACTGAAATTTGCCACCTCGTAATAGTTACACACATGATTGGTCTTTACACTGTGCTGGGATGGAAATTCTATTTTGCCTTCTCCATAAAGCAATCCAGGAAAAATTTGTATAGGGCCAGACAAGTATAAAGGGTCAACAGGATCATTAGAATCCCATGGATTCTCCTTTCCCTAGAAAAAAATTTAAAAGTTCAGCTATACTATGGGCATTTTAGCAACAAGCCAGTTGTCCTGTGGGATAATACCCCCACTAAATAGGAAGTTATGTAGCTTTGCAATGATTTCAAATACTTACATAGTTTGTTGCAGGAGTTACGTGTTTTGCTATGGGAAGAACATGGAGTGTAATCCTCCTCCTTGTGGGAATGCTATGTCACACTTCATCAGACTGTACATGTGAGTTATTGGCCTCCAACAACTGGACTCTAAAACATATATAAACCCAAGATTTTGACAGACAGATTGACAGCTTAGGCTGTGGCAGGGCTACTCTCTGTCAGCCTTCAAGTTATTCTCCAAAGCATCTCCAGCCAACATCAGCATCGCTTGTTAGCATGGAGGGGCCTTGCCCATCATTGCACGTGTTTGGGGATCTCTGCTGTGGTGGTCAAACCATCTTTGCCAAGAACTTCTTGTAGAAAGAAAGGTATACCTCAAACTTTGATTGGACTCTCCACCCACAGAGGCCTGCCTTCATCCTAATTGAGTAACTAGACTTTAATAATGGACTTTACATGAAATTGGAACTCACTGATCCTGTGCCTAATCCACTCTGTCTATTGAATATTAATATATTCCCTGTGAGATTTGTTCTTATTATTCTCCCTAACATTATGAAAAAGAAAAAAAATCTTTCTGTGTCAATAAATCATATGATACATGAAATCATACTTTGATCATCTCCTAATTTTAATCTACAAAACTTAGAACAGCTAAGGAATTCAACTCTAGAAGCTCCTCTCTTGCTCTATGTTTATATTGAGTGGGTAAGAAGTAGGTTTCTGTTGATGGTGAGATCAAAGCAGGCCTGATTTGCTAATGGTGTAGAAAATATTACTGGTTCAAAGTTACATATCATAGTTAATCACTATATACTCTCCAGTCTCTTTAGATACTTCATTATTTTAAAGTGTTGTTAGGGGTTTAGTTGCTGTGAACATGCAACCTAAAAGA